TTTCTGGTGCAATTCAAACGAAAGTACTGCTCAGCTCAAAACCTGCTTGAGCTAGAGAACCAGTTTCTAACCCTGAAGAAGGGAAGCATGTCAATCGATGAATACACCAACAACTTCACAGAGAAGATGGAGTTCGCCTTGCGTCTTGTTCCGGATGAGCTGACGAAAATCGACAAGTACGCAAAGGACTTCCATGGGAGTACGCGGTGCCAGTGCGTCAAGCACCTACTCTAGAGGCAGCTATCTGGGCTGCCAAGTCTGTCGAAGATATGATCAAGGGAAGAGCCTCCAGCAAGATGGAGGTTGGCGAGAAGAGAAAGTTTGAAGGATCTTCAAGGTCCAGCGAGAAGAGAAAATTCTCGAAGTTTGAAGAAGGAACGCAATGGTGTGACAAGTGTAGAAAGAAGCACATCGGGAAATGCTCTAAATATACGACATGCTTTAAATGCGGGAAGACTGGTCATTACGCCAGCGAATGCACAACCAAGAGAGAAGTCTGCTTTAAGTGTGGAGAAGAAGGACACTTCAAACAAGACTGCCCAAAGAGAGAAGGGGCTACAAAGCCAAATGTGCCACCAAAGCCAAAGGCGAGAGCATTTCAAATGATCCTTGACGAAGCAGATGACAATGCAAGGATTCAAGAGTGAAGGCTTGACATCCGAGGATCGAGTTATGGAGTAATCGTGTAGATAGTACCTCACGATGTAGCCCGTTAGAGGCATAGTCTAGGGTGAACTTGAACACCTATGTAATAGTTTCAAGAAATAATATAAAACCTTTGTTTTGTTATCTGATGTGTTAAGTTGTTGTATGGTTTTCTTGTATGGTGACTTGGAAAAACTGCGGGACAATACTTGGGACGAGTATGAGTAGGTGTGAATGGTAGTAGAGGCCTATACTACCGGAAGCACAGGACTCACACTTGGATCAGGGAAAGTCACAAGGTTACCAAGAAGCCAGTAATTGATTTCGTTTTATTCAAGTATGCGTTACCATTGTTTCGGTAATGACTAAGAAGATTGTTGTTATCCCGACCCTAGTGGTCATATCACCTTGAGTCCGACTACGATGAGTAGGTTACGTGGTTCAGAGAACCAAGTTTGATATAGCGTCCGACTTAAACCAAACGATTAAAAATCAAAGCGATCAATAGAAGTATCGCGCTCGTTGGTAGCTAGAAATGCTACATGTTAAAGTATGATTATATCACATTAGAACATGAAGGAAGGCTTAGTCTGTTTTAGAATTTAAGAGACCTGAGTCTAAACGTACATCACATGATGATAGGTCATAATTTGGAGTCTAATATGAGGTAGAGAGCAGGTGCACGATCAAGTACTGCTTACAGTCAATAAGTCTAAGAGATAGACTTGAAGGAATAAAGAAGTTATAATTATTACCTAGGATGAAGAGATGACGTATGGAGTCATTATACGATCCTTGTTTCGTTGATGATTCCGGGACGTAATCATCCTAAGGGGGAGATAATTGTAACGCCCGCAGATCCGGGCTAGTCAATTTAGAGGCAATAGGGGTCAAAAATGACTTTTCGACAAAAGATTATTTAGAATGAATAGTCTTAACCAAGTTTTAGAATATGTCACAAGGTTTCCGTACATATAAAGAACGCCGAAATCCGAGTTATAACGAAGAAGTTATGGCCCGCCGAAGTTTTACGGCAAAACCGGCACGGCACCGGAAGACGTAAATAGTGAATTTACGATAGAAGACTTTTTAGCCTTAGCAATCTAAACAAAAGTCGTAGAATATGTTAAACTAAGAGCGTCGATAAAAAGAACGCCCAAATCTGACTTCGTATGAGGAAGTTATGATTTTTCTAAGATTCGGCTTAGCAGTGTACAGCCCGAAACTCGAATTTTAGTTCGAGCGGTTTTTGGCTTACGTGAAATAAATGAGAGTTGAAGATCTCATTAATAGGAACTCAACGGTAAAAAGACAGACGAAAACGGAGTCCGTATGAAGGAGTTACGAATTCTTCGCGGTCATTTAACAGTCTAAACGCCTCGTACTGTTAAATTTAAGATCGGTCGAGAATTAGCCGACGGAGTCAAAATGAAAGTTGTAGATATTATTTTTACCTACGCGTGGATATAAAGAACGTCAAAAACGGAGGTCGTATGTGAAAGTTACGGATTTTAGAAGTCGGAAGTGTGTTGTGCGAAAATGGGTGATGTGGCACAATCTTGGCCATTGCTTTCTCCCCAAGTCTTGCCACTAGATGGTGACATGTGGCACCAAGTTCAGCCATTTTCACCCTATAAATACCACCTCTCCCACCCTCATTTTCTTCACACCTTTCCCATTCTTTCTTCTCTTTACTCTCTCTCTAGAACCTCTCTCTAGCCCCGAAATCCCCCGAAAAGCCTAGGGAACCTCCCTAGCACGAGGCGGAAGCCCCGGAGTGCTCGACGGCTCCGAGAAGAAGAGCTTTTCGGCTCGGAAACGCTGCTCCAAGCAAAGCCTGGTTTTCTATAAAACCCGCTGTAAGTGAGCTACGCCTACGCTATTTTTAATATAGTTTTTATTTAATTATATTAACGTTATTAAGAACATATAATAAATACTTGGGCTATTATTATGGGTTATATAAGTATTTTTTTAACGCTTATATAATAGTAATAATAGCTAGACTATTAATTAGTCTCGGCGAATAATAGACTAAAATCTATTGGTGATAATACTAGGTTTCGTCGAAGGAAATTATTTTAAAGTAAACGAAGCGCTGTCCGAGTACCGAGTCACCACCTTCTCAGGTGAGTGCATAGTCCCTTTCATGAACATGATTTTAATACAAGTATTGATTGAAGTATTAATTATATGTTTATGTGCGAGTTAATTGATGTTGCTTGAAATTCGTGTTAAAGAACATACCTGATTATATTTGATAATTTAGGATAAAGAGTAGACCTAAATTAAATATGAGGAATATTGGGTAGTATATTCTTACGAGTACAAGTGAGTTAAACTCAGAGAATAGAAGTTAGTATATGTCACTTATCCGGGAGTATGGATTAGACATAGTCATTGTCCCTAGTCCGAGAATATGGATTAGGCATAATCATTCGTCGTTAATCCGAGAGTATGGATTAGCTATTGTCCCTAGTCCGAGAGTATGGATTAGGCATAATCATTCATCTTTAATCCGAGAGTATGGATTAGTCATTCGTCCCTAGTCCGAGAGTATGGATTTGGTAAATTCGTTCATTTCTGATCCGAGAGTATGGAGTAGGTAAAACGACTAATCTTAGGTCCGAGAGTATGGATAGCCTCGTTGCGAGGATCGACGGGGTGGGATAAGAGTTGTTTATATATATGTATGGTGAAATTGTATATTTTGTGAATTTTAAACTATATATATGGTATAACATTGTGGGATTGAAATCCCTATGTGCTCACCAGGTTTCCCAACCTGACCCACTCAGTTTATTTATATCACAGGTGTTGATATGAAGTGACATTACACTGAGAGATTTAAAGAGATGTAGACCACTAGTGTGAATAATTGTAAGTTCTGTTTATGCTTATGTTCCTGTATTAACGATGACATCCCAAACGTTTTAAAATGAAATAAATACGTTTCTTTGAAAATGTTTTAATAACGTATTTACCATGTTTTTCTGGGAACAAATTCCGCAACCTTTTTATAAAATGAAGTACTCTGATTTTTTATAAAGCATAAACAAAGTCGGTCTTTTCTGGCCGTGATTTTGGGGATGTCACATGGTGAGGGGTTGTAGATGGCTGATGGCAGTGGTACCGACGGTGGATGTTCATAGAGAGAGCATAGGGGTGCGACTATATAAAAAAGATTTTTACTTTCTATTTTTCCAGATCCAGCCTCAATATTTCGTTTGTGCTTCAATTTACCTAAATCCAGCATTGATCTTTCATTGTTGATTATAATATAAGGATGCGGCTAAGCTAAATCTTCGAAGAGAAGACTTCGGAGAGTAAGATCAGTATCAAATTCAAACCACCACTTTGCAAAGGAAAAAAAAATTAATTTGCTGGAAGTAATCGGTGAACTTAGGAAGCTATTCGTCAGTAGAGAAAGCATGGCCGGTGTCAAGTGGAGGCTAATTAGGGTTAAGGTTTCTCTAATTTTATGAATATCATTAAGGAGACGTTTTCAAACGATAACGTAAGCAAATAATCTAAGGGTTTAAAATATAAGATTGAAATGCAATGAATGACCTTGATTTCTTAAGTGTGGAATTAAAGGTTCTCTTTTAATAATATTTAAGATACTTAGATTAATATATCGTAATATTTAAATAATTATTAAATAAAATATATATTAAAGTTAAATGAGTTGGTAGGTTTAATATATCGTAATATTTAAATAAAATATATATTAAAATTAAATGAGTTGGTAGGTTGAAAACAGATTAACAACATTTATCCGACTCAACCTATTTAATTAAATGAGTTAGGTGGGTTGACCAATTTATCCTTTGAACATCTCAACCCAAGGTTGGGTTCGGATCGGATAAATGGATTGGATCGATTTTTGACAACTCTACCTAATATCAATCAAAATTTTATCGATCAAAATTTTATTATATAAGAAAATATACTTCAATTATTAAAGTTTTATTATTATTATATATAGAGAGATAATAAGACAAATACTAAATTCCCGCTAAATGTGGAGGATTATGACTGATGAGTTGGCCGGTGGGAGACATTTTTAGTTGTCGACTTACCTTCCGAACCTGACAGCCTGTGACGGCTGCGTCATCTTGAATTTCCTACGACCCAACATTAAATCCATACCTCTTATTTATTTTAATTCACGCAAACGTGCAGTTCGTATATACGTAGAAGGAAAGAGACCACGTAGGGCCCTTGAATGTCGCCAAAACTCTACCTATAATAGTTCAATTTAACCTTGCAAAAGGTTATACTAATTTGGTGTTTCTGTGTTAACAGGGTTGTTCTGTCTGTGGGACTAATTTGCGTACAAACTGTTTGTTGAAATGTCTAAAAGAGTGAATTTGGTGCAATCCTCATCGCCAATAATGGAACTTCCACAATTTAAAAGCTTATCACAATCAACCGGAATGGAGGATTCGTTTTTCAATTTCCAGTGGCCAGTCAACTCCATTGATAATCAACTCAGTTCAATGGCAACATTTGGAGAGAAGAAGACACATGATCATCACCTTCATGCTCATGCACCTTTCTTTGATGTGGAATCATCTTCAACACCCATTAAAGAGCTCAAAAATCACAGCAATCACTTACCATCATCCCAATTTGGCAACCAAAACTACTATGTTTTCAACCAAGATTTTCAAGGTAACAATGATGGTGGTGCAAAAATGTCATCTACAAGCAACAACACTAGAGTTACTCCATATCAAGATCATGTATTGACTGAAAGAAAAAGGCGAGAGAAACTCAGACAACACTTCATAGCCCTCTCTGCTATACTCCCTAACCTCAAAAGGGTAAAAAAAAAATCCCTTTTCCAGATTACATGTGTCTTTAATACTAGATGAAGTATTTTCTTCTAATTTGCATGTTTTATGGATAATAGATGGATAAGGCTTCTGTTCTTGGAGATGCAATCGAGTATACAAAGATCCTACAAGAGAAAGTGAAGATACTTGAAGAGCAGACACAAAACAAAGCAAACATACAATCAGTAAAATTTGAGGTGGTGGTTGATGGTGGTGAAATTTCTTCAAGTGAGAAAATCTCCGGTGTACCAGAAAAACTCCCGGAGGTAGAAGCAAGATTTTCCGGGAAGAATGTCCTAATAAGAGTCCATTGTGAGAAAAAAACAGGTGTTGTAGAAAATACACTGGCTGAAATAGAGAAGCTTCATCTCTCCGTGATCTGCAGTAATGCCATGATCTTTGCGAATTCTGCTCTTCATATAACCATTATTGCTCAGGTGAGGGTTTGACTTTTTTGCACAAGAGGCTATTTGACTTATCGATTTATGCCGCAGTTTTGTGTTTTGATATATGTGATTTGACTCAAACATGTACCATATTTTTCACAGATGGATAGGGATTTAATCATCACAATGGAGGAATTGGTAAAGAAACTACGGTTTGGATTCAAGAAATTCATGTGAATATCTCAAAGTTGAGTTTTAGAATATAAAGAACAAATGGAAATCTGTGTTCTAGAATACAATTATTAGTAATTAGTGAGTTGTTCATTTGATTATTTTTCTACAAATTCCATGTAAAATGAATATAGTTCGAGTTCATGTATGTTTTATAATGCATACATTTGAAATCAAAATTTGAGAATCCATATTAAATTAGTTTAGAATCAAATAATTAATGATTAATCTGATTGCCTCATGATTTTAGCCCCATATAGAAACCAAAGCAGTAGGTGGCGTAGGTTTTTTTTGGTTGACGTTTTGTGTTAAATGAAAACAGCTCCATTTAAGTTCCAGATTAAATTCGGAATGTCTATTTTTAAAAATTTAACTGAAGTTTGTATATATATTAAAAAAGAAAATGATAAATTAGGTTAAACTCATTAAGTTTTTTCAAGATTTTAGACAAAATATTAGGTTGTAGGGCATCAAAGGACCAAGCATACTCACGGGAGTGAGGTCGGAGGTGGCCACTTCTGTGTTGAAGAGCAACTCATGCACACCATGAAAATTCATCAAATGACCAAATGGAAGGGTGTGTATAAAACAAATGATCATGAAAAATTGAATTTTATTAAATAACTATGACTTCCGCAAAGAGATGCTCTGCAGAAGGCCTAAAGCTCTTAGTATCTGAATAGCACTGAGGAAATGAGGTGGCAGTGGTCTTTTTGTAAAATCACCCAAAAAAACCCGATTTGTAGTGTAGGTTGTGGAAGAAGCAATGGGTTTGGGGGAGGTTTGCTGCGGAATGAAGACGGGTAAAGGAAGTGAGAATCGATTGATCGAAGAAACAAGAACGGAGATTGTGAGGTGCATAACAGTTCCTCAGAGTTAGATGAAGAACAGATCCGTACAGGGCATTTCTACGGATCCATAGAGCCCTCTTTGGAATTGACATTTTTTAATGCTTTCGGCTACCATTTCTTTAGAGGTGTACAAGAGTTCCGCAGAGACATACGCATTTCCACAGAGACATCTTTTGCGGAACTATTTAAAACAACGATTTTTTTTGTCTTTTTCCGCACGTGCCTTCCACAGAGCCCCTCGTTGCGGATATTTAAGAAGTTTTTGGAGTTTTTATCTGCTAAATTTTTGTTGTTCCTTACAAGCAAAGGTGCACAAACATAACCAGTTTTCTAAAAACCGAAAAAAAAAACTATTTTTAATAACCTGTTTAAATAAAACAGAATCATCAATTAAAAATATGTTTTAATAAAAATCAACAAACCAATTTTTGCATGTATTTTTACTATAATGGAACCGAATCGGTTTTTAAATCGAAAAAGCCACGTAGGTTGTAATTGAAACCGATCTAAAAAAACAGGATAAGGTTTTAAAAAAAAAACCATTAGACTACCCCCATTGGGTTGATTTGGGTGAGCGGCTCACCAGTTTTAAATTAAAAGAAAATAAAAGCTAAATTTTTTTGATGACCTAGGTTGTAGTGACAACTTAAGGGTTTGTTTGGTTTGCAAAATGTTTTTCTAAGGAATTAAAATCTGTTAAGGAATTGAAATCTGTCAGAAATTTCAATCTAATTCAATATTCTGTTTGTTTGGCAGAAAGTGGAACTGAAATAATATAAAATGATAAAATTATCCTTTTTTTGCTTATTTTCCTTTGTTTAATAACTTATATGTAAAAATATGTTATATAAATTATAAAATTAGTAAATGAATGTGATGGTGGCAGTGATGTTGGCGGTGACAATAACGGTGGTAGCAGAGGTACTGGTGGTGGTGGTGATAGCAGGTGGCGGTGGAGGTTGTAGTGGTGGTGTGTAGCGGCGGTGGTGGGTGATGAGTGGTGGTGGTGGCGGCAACAGAAATGTTTCATATGTAGTATTAAAAAAAGTGAGTAATATAGGAAAGTGATGGAATTTTAATTCATTAAATTTTTGGATGAAATTTATTTTCCTTCATTGGAAGGAAAATTTGACTTATTTAGGAATCAAATTCTTTTTGAAAGCTTAATCAAATATACAAAAATGATGGAATTAGATTGTAATTGCTTATAATTCCAATAGATTCCATCGAACCAAACGACAGTGTCCATCACTTACTAGTTAATTATAGTTGAGTTAAATTAACTTTTTTAATAAAATCTAATTTTGTTAGTAATTGACTTTTATGTTAAGTAAATAAATAAATAAAATATACAAAATACATAATTAAATTTTCTCTACGAAATGATACCGATATTGATATAACTTTTTTTAATATTAAACTAGATTTGGTTGATATAAAAAACAAAGAGTAGGTTTAATTGAATTATTGATATGAAAAAAAAAATAGTTTTTTTAATAGAAGATTGAATTGGATTGGATTATAAATAAGGACACCTTCCCGTACAAGCCATTTTATTTCCAGATAACTTTTTAACTGAAAATAGAATAATATCATTTAAAGATGATATTAAAATATAATTAAAAATTTCCGAAATCAACCTACGTGCTGCGGAATCCCGTTCCCGACACCGTCATCCTACCAAGAAATCGCGTGCCACGTGTGCCACTAAAATCATTTACTACCCTGGTAGCATGTCCACCTCATCTCATCGCCATTCGGCACTGACCATCAATTTACCTCCCTCCAGAAGCATCGTCGTTTTATTTTACCTGCACATATTCATCACAAACCGTTTAAAACCCCCAACATAAGGCCAAAAAAAGCTATCAAATCACAATTCTTGAATCCTCATCGTTTCTGTCGTCTCCCAATTGGAAATTCCACTCCTCAATGGCTCTTTGGCTGTTGAATTTTGCAGGTTATGTCTGTTTTTTAGCCCTAATAGTTCAATTTCGGGGTTCAGAGGCTTTGATCTCGGCGCCTGACATCAATCAACAACATCCTAAAGCCATAGCGGTAAGTAATTATCTCAAACTCAACCGATTCGTAAATTCGAATTGTGTTTTTGATCCGATATTCCTATAGATGGTTAAATCAAGTTTGTTCGTATTTCAATTTTCACAAAACCAAGTTTCCCATATAATTGTATTTCTCATGTGAATGTATCTTGACTATTTCCTGAAACAATCTCTAAACATTCTGAATTTCACTTCGCATCCGATACATCTTTAAACCTAGTCTTATGCCGGTGTTGATGTATAATCGTTCGTTTGTTCGTTTTACGCTTAGAAAACTCATGGAAGCTTACCAAAAGATGCGAAATAACTAATCTAGATCAAGAGTGAAAGAATCTATTCCGTGTGTTTCAGGATTTGAAGGAAGCTATTGTCAAAGGATTAGGGCTTCAATCGGATGATTTTAAGATATCTGGCTTTGATGCACGAGACGCCTTAGTCGGCCGATCCTTAGCTTATGAGTTTGATATCGAAATCGATGATAAGATTCTTCCATTTAAACTTATGGAGGATGTCAATAGATGGGAATACGTGGATTTACCTATTTTCCAAATGCAAGATCAGATCATAAACGCCGGTGATGAGAATGGTCTGGTCGAGAAGAAAGTCCTCGGAGAAAGGCTACCTGTTTTGGCTCCATTTCAGCTCGCAGGCCCAATGGAGCTCTGGATCCAAGACGCCAAGGACATGAGGCTTTCCTTGCCTGTAAGTTCGAGATTCACATGATTCTTTACTTCCAATTTTATTGAGAAGAATAAGATTCTGATTTCTTATCGATAAATCTACAGCATGACGTTGACGCTGGTGAACTAAGGAAAATAATCTTAGCAGATGGTGCGGTTGTAACAGTGAAGGGTGCCCGATCGGTCAGCCTACGCCACCCAATCGAGCTTCCACTTCCATTAAACACCACCCAAAACGGCTTCGCTTCAGGTCTCCTAACCTTAGCAGAACGCCTCCGACACGCTTCCCAAACACAAACTCAACTTCTCTCTCTTCGAATCGTGGGCCCCACATCTCTCACATCACCAACTCCATCCTCACCATCTTCAAAGCTCAAACTCAAGCTCAAGCGCCTCGCACCTGGTTTAGTCGAACTCTCTTCGGTTTCAAAAACCGCAATCTCAACTGTTGATCATCTTCAAGAAGACGCCCCAACCCTCCTGACACCGGACCATTTCACCACATTATGGCCGGTGACATCCATCAACGGCTCACACTCGAACCTAGTTGGGTTAGAAAGACTGCTGACGTCGGTTTTGGGTTCGAAAGCCAGTAAAGAGGGTTCGTTTAAGCTTTTGAAAGCAGATGTATCTGCTCGTACTTTTGTGAAGATAGGGTTCAGAGTGGAGAAGAAGCTGAGCGGAAACCTCTCAGAATGGGAGAGTCAGCGTGTAGGTCAGCTGCCTGAATGGAGGACGAAGCCGGAAACAATGAAGATGCATTTTGAGGTGGTGGCGAAGGTTGATGGAGGTAAGTTTGTGCCGGAGAGAGTTGTGCAGATTCAGCCTGTTGCTGTGCAGCATACTGTAGCACGAAGTGTATTTGTTGGGAACACATCTATGTCTAAGCAGCCTGTTGTTTATACTCCTTTTAGTCCATTTGCGTTATAAACGTCACAAAAGTTTCTATATGCGACTCATATTGAAAATGAATCCTTTTATTTATCATTTTCAGAGTATATGCAAAGATCATATGTTTTATGGAGTTGTGATCCAATCTTTAGAAATTTTCAACTTAATAAGAAAACATGTTGGTGATTTATTTGAATTAAAACTAGTGTGTCGTCTATTTTTATGTAACCCAAGTTGATTCCGAACAATAAAACAAACGTGGGGTCAGGGGGCCATGCTTGTTGTGGGGTCAAACGGTAGCAACGTGAGTTCTTTACAAATCATCTACAAAATATCAAGTACTAACTGCAGTTGGAAACCTTGATCGGAGTGCAAGAATAACAGATAAGCAAGTTTTGCGTATGGAGAGAGGAAGTTTCCATGCTGCCTAACAACTCCATGATATGTTCTTATTGACAACAAGTGATGCGTGATGATGATGATAGTTCAAGAAACATACTTTAATTGTAAAAAACATATCCTATTTTGGGATGTATGAGACACAACTTTTGACACTCTTTTAAGATCTTGGATATTCCATTTACTCTCCAACAACATGAATTTCTGTTTTGTGCCTAAAATGAAACTGTCATGGAGGATTATTGCATATTGATTTTGTAAACCTAGACATATGGAAAGTGAACTTACACATCATCATTGTATCCAATCATTAATAGATTATTAAATACCGTATTTTGCACCCTATTATAACAAAACTTTGTTTCCTTTCACATTTTGAAATAAGTCATTATCTTTTGTCCTAATAAATAAGTATCCAATTGTCAAGGGTGGCAATTGCGGAACCCCTACCAAGCAAATTTACCTGCTCTATTTTTCTATGTGAAGTTCCGAAAATGACCTTTCTCCTCTTCATACCCCATCCACCATTTTCTCCCCAAATCTTGCATATCTCCTGTTACTCGCATATCTCTGTTACTTTCTAAATTAGATTTCGGATTCAGATTTTGAAACCCTAAAAAGGTAGATATCCCTAAATCAACAATTAATTTTGATGTTTGAATTGTTGATCAACAAGATCGAAACCAAAAATAGTTTAGGGTTTTGGATGGTATTCATCGTTGCCTTTCATCTTCCGTGACCGACGACATAGCTCCCATCGATCAACAAAACCTTTTCACCAATTTCAACCACTCCGTTGTCGCCCGGTCTACTCTAGCTGGTGAGCTTCTCTCTCTCTCTCTCTCTTGTTGGTGATTTTTGTGTCACCATGTCATTTTAAGTAATTGGAACTGACTTGTGAGTTAAGAGGCTTCATAATTTGTACGTTGATATATGTACGGTGTTGTGTGGAGTGCACGCATGTATAAGATCGAATTAGAAGCCAGTTCGACGACTAGTCGGGGTTCGGGGTTTCTAAAGGGGCAGAGCCCCTGGCTGGTTTGAAGTTTAACTTCTTAATAATTCATTTGATAAATATATGTGCACATACATGGAATGGAGTTACCTGCGTGATTGTGAAGTGTAGTCGCATTTCAAGAGGATGTGGACTTGATCTTCATACGATCATGAGAGGATTGGGACACACAGCTTTATAATAGTGTCAAGTTGTATTTTGCTAGAAATTCAATAAACTAGTATGTATTTTACTTTCTGGTATTCAAATCGTTTGATGGGTTCAATTCTTAGAACACCCTGATTCTCGAGTATTTGGAAACGTATGATACTAAGTGGAAATTCAGTCGTTTCGATATTTTCATTATGTACTAGTTTGGTTTGTTTGATAAAGTTATGTTTGTTCAAGGGTTACACTTAAATGGGGGAGGATTGTTGGTGATTTTAGTGGCACCATGCCATTTTAAGTAACCGGAACTGACATGTGAGCTAAGGGGTTTCATAATTTGTACGATAATATATGTACAGGGTTGTGTGGAGTGCACGCATGTATAAGATTGAATTTGAAGCCGGTTCGAAGACTAGTTGGGGTCTGTGGGCAGCGCCCCTAGCGGGGTCCAAGGGGTAGAGCCCCTGATTGGGGTCTCGCTGACCAAATTTTACATATGGGAATATAGTGGAAAATTCAATTTCTTGAGGGTGATTATGGTAAAACTAACGAAACTCGTTAGTTTTGGTAACACTAAATCCTCATTAGATCCGAATTATCCTAACTTGCTTCCAAAGCAACTAATGACGACACAACCCTAATGAAACCCTAATCTCATTTAATATATAAACGATTATTCCTTTTCAGAGGAAAAACGATTAGTAGCTCTAGTTTTTATCAAACTCTCACATAATCTCTCTAGCAAATTGGCTTACGATTTCTGTGCCTAGAATCGTAAGAGTCCACTTGGATTATCCCAGGTTAAATTTCTTGCAACCCAAACATAGGGTAGAAATATCAGTTGAAAAAGTGTTCTCACAATCCAAGTTGGTATCCGGATCTCCACTACAAACCCTAATATTTCTTACATTCGAATTGATATTTTATGTTCCTAGATATGGGCGACTCAATCCGTGAGATGAACACTAAGTTTGCTAAACTGGAGAAGTTTGAAGGCGTCGACTTCAGGCGTTGGAAGATAAAGATGCACTTCATGCTGACTACTCTGAAAGCAGCATACGTGTTGACTACTCTGGAAGCAGCATACGCGTTGGAAGAAGAAGATGCACTTCATATTTCTAACTTATGTTAGTATGGTTTGGAGAATTATGATGATTGTGTAGTAGATCGAAGACTTAATAAGAAGACATAAAATTCTATTTTTGAGGTTAGAACATAAGCAATACTTTAGTTTTTGTGATAGGCATGTTGGTAAAATAAATTATTATTATAAAATTTTCTTTGTTTTTTCTCCATATTAAACTTCTTTTTCATTAATTCATATTGTTTCTATTATTAGATCATATGCATTTCTTTGTTATTTATCATACAATAAATTTCAAGGAAGCTTGTAAACAGTAACTCTGGTTTGGCATTTGATGGCTGAGATTCGTCTTGATTGGTTGGTATAGAGTCGTTTTCTATAACATCCCGAAAATCATGGTAAAATTTTTCATTTTTCAAAACCAAACCACAAACCACAAATGTTTACAAACTTAGTTTCCAAAAGTTAAAATCACAAATTAGAGTATCCCAAAATCAAATATCATAAAATCGAAAGGATGTACATGATCAATCATTCACCTTACCCCGATCATCTGAAGTACCTGAAACATAAAACTAAAACTGTAAGCCAGAGCTTAGTGAGTTCCCCCAAAATACCACCACACAAATATATTACAACATGTATACGGGGTCCACAACCATCAGGTTGGATTACCCCTAAGCCCACAACATGAGTATGGGTTGCCTTTCTGGCTCACAACCCATGTTTGGATTACTCCGAGCCAACAACATAAGTCTGGCTTGCCTTACCGACCCTCAACTTATGTCTGGCTTGCTCCCGATCCCACAACATATGTCTGGCTTGCCTTTCCGACCCGCAACTTATGTCTGGCTTTCTCCCAAGTTTGTTGACTTCCACACAGAGCAATATTGCCTCAACACAACTGCACTATGTTGATATATATATATAACAAATAAAATATATCGAGTAAACATATAATCATATAACCAGTCAATAGACAAACATGCAGATCTACAGATCACTACCGCATAACAACATCCAACATACCAAGATACAAATCTATCAAATCAATACAACATAGCAACATCCTTTATACCAGGATACATAACCCCGTGGACCAACATTGGTGCCTTCGACCCACAAGTACAGTGAGGAAAACTCATATCTCAGTCTGAAAAGATAGCTGAACAGGACATTGCTCCGAATACCTGCTCCACCAGTCATCTATACATCAAATAGTGACCAAAGTCAACTACAACTCAAAATACACTTAGGTCAAATCCTGGTCAAAGTCAAAAGTCAAAGGGGTCAATCAGTCAACTCAGTTGAGTACACCCAAAGTACTCAGCTTGTACGCATGGCGTACTATGCATCTTAACCAGATTAGGGGAGTTGACCACGTAAACGAAGCATAGCATCAGGTACGCCCATTGTACGTGTCTATCAACTTTCCTTTCTAATAAGTGCTTAATCCATTAAGCCCCTACGTCTAAAATCCAGATCTAGTCCTCAAATGATGTTTTAGATCATCGAGTCCAACTTTATGATCTTGCATGGCTATTAAGTGCCCAATACCAAAACCCTAACTTAACATAAAGTTCTAAACCACTAAAGAGCATGCATGGAAGGATATGAACAATCAATATTCCATTTTTATCACTCTAGACACCCTAAAATGTCCAGAAGGACAACTCATTTGGTCTAGAGTAACTCATACTCATATGGACCAAGGATATGGGAGTAATAAGCACAAAACTCCACCTCTAATAAGATCTAAAGGAATAACCATCAAGATCAGAGCTTTATACCTCCAAATGAAGCTTGATAGCAAGATACTTCTAGATCCAAAGTGCTTTACTCTTCTAAGATGGTTTCCTCTCTTTCTCCTTCCTTCAATGACACTACAAAGCACACTTTCAAACTCAAAATGCACACATAAGGAAATATGGTTTGCTTAGGATGAAAATGGGGATGGATGCTGATGAATGAAAGGGTCTCAATGAGTTAAGGATGTTTAAATGGGGTCCAAACCCTAAAAATTACAGTTTAAGTCTCTGCCACGTATGCCCAGCGTACGTGACCAAATTCGTAATTTTCATTTAAATGCCATTTGCGACCAATTTGCAAACAATTCTCATACCAAGGGTCTAAATGTAAATACCTAAAAATTGAGATGTTATAATTCTCCCCCACATGAATCAGAATTCGTTCTCTAAGTCCACTGTCACGAACAACTCAGGGTAGTGCTCTCGTATTTCCGTCTCAGGTTCCCAAGTCTATTTGGAACCCTTCCGATGTTGCCACTAGACCTTAACCAAAGACACCACCGTGTTGCACAAGGCCTTCGTCTTCCTATCCAAAATTGTCACCAACCACTCAACATAGTTCAGGCGATCATCAACCTGAACATCATCTAAAGGAAACACTGTTAAATCATCACGTACACGCTTCTGTAACTAAGAGACGTGAAATGTGTTGTGAATATAAGTCATATGTGATTAGATCATATAATCACACATGATTTAATACAAGAGAAAAATTAATGAATCGAGAACGCGGAAATGAATTTTGTCTGCTTGTCTCACTAAAGAACAAAGTACATTCTGCCTTTCCTTGTTCACTCTACCAAATTAGGGTATCCGTGACCGATAACATAAAACAAGTAATGCTTACATAATAGGAGAGTTAGTGTAACTCACCTCCTTGAACTTGAAAGTTAGCTAGTGTAACATCCCACTTATTAAATAAAAAATGGATAAAATTAAAAACGAATAGTAGCCCTAAATCTATAATAAGTTACCAGTGTTAGTCATAAGGAGCTAAATAACATAATTTCTGGAAATTTGGGATATTTATTGTAATGTTTGGACTTGAATTGTAATAAATTGTGGGAAGAAAGGGATAAAGAGTAAAATGGGGATTTAGATGGTAATGATTAGAGAAGGAAGGTCTGAATATGTCATAATTGATATTGTGGGGGTTAAAAGGGTAATTTCCGGATTGGCTTTGCAAAGAATTTCAAAAGCTAAGGGTTGTTTGGTAAATTATGCTACTTAAGTTGAAAAGAATTGACATGGAGGGGCTAAATGTGT